TTTCGATTTTTTACGGAATAAATGGACCGCACGAAATATATCATTTGAATTTTGAAATAATTAAAAGTTCGAAGTTTATCTAAAAAGGTAAAAAAATATCCGCAATGGATATTCATCGAACCATCGAGCACTTACGTAGTTGATATTTTCGATCAAAAATCATGCAAATGTACTTGATATTGAAAGCTTAAGATCCTTTTGAATGGAACAACTTTGCTCACTTCGGCAATGAAATCTCACTATGAGTGAACTCAACGAGAATTTATGGACATTTCGATCGGATGAAAACGTTTCCTCATAGCGAAGTAAAAAGACTCGCAGTCTTTAGAACATGTAGTTGAAATAACAGATGGAATATTGAAGCCGAATAAATCTTGTGGGAGGAAACGACTCAAAATTTCATTGAACTTTGTTGCTCTTAGTTTTTATTAGAAAATGTGATTATCTCTGTTAGTCTATTACATAGAAATGCATCCAGATGAGGGTGATATAAACCAATGAAGAGCAGAATAATCAGTTGAATATTCAATGAAATGTTGCGTAAAAGTTCATCGAGCTATCGTTGATCATGTCACTCGTCCGAATTGCGTCTATTTCCTTTGCTGAACATCAATGATAGGGGGCGAAGAGCAAAGATAATTGCATATAAATTAGATGGGAATGACTAATGCTTTCTTCAAGATAGACATACTATCAAAATTAACACAAATTGACCTGTTTTATCAAATCCCGAAATCCCAGGATTTTTCAAAACTTAAATCCCGGGATTGGGATTGGAACTATAATCCCGGGATCCCGTGCAAACCCTAGTCTGAACTGGTCACTGTGAACAAGCGAGTGAATAATATTCAACTGAATTATCATAACAGCCCGCACACCATCCGAAATAGTGATATTATGCCATAGTCTCAGTAACGCGACTAGCAACGGAAATAAAATATCGACGTACTTCAAAATGTCGCATTAATATCGCTAATATCACACTGACAATTTCGCATTCTAGAACTATTCACTCATTATCAATCCAAATACGATGCAAATGGATAACTGCGTCCCAACAAAGGCTAGTTGTTTGTTGAAAGCATTTATTTTTTAGTACTTTAGGATCCAAAAAACGAGTGAACTATACGTTACCATACTTTTTGCACTGCTTTATACATTTGGTCAATGACCGGATACAATTTGTTCTCGAACGTGTAAGTCGGAATAAACTTTTGCTCAATTTCAAGCATTTTATAATGCAATGTTTTGAAACACCACGAAAACATCGTTCGCAGCTGAATGTTTTCTTAACTGTTCATTAAAATTTCATGAATTAATCGCCACCATCGATCATTGATCGTGAATGTTTGAATCAAAATTTATTCATGGTTGGTTCAGCTAGTTCTAGGAGTTAAATGCGTGTTTCAACATATTTTCAGTTGGCTTTTATCACTTCCGGAGAAGCCTTTTTCATCAATCATAAATAATCAAATCGTGAATAGTTTCGAATTCCGAAATGTCTCCCGTCAGGTGATCCCTTCCTTCATTTGTTGTTATCAAATGGCCAGGATTGCTCCAAATATTTGCCCCTAATGAAACAGAGTTAGTTGTGAGTAGTATTGCACTTCAAAGTGACCTTAAAAGAGGCACGAGTGCTTGTGAAGAAACTGCATCCGATACGAGGACCGTACTTCTGCAAGATCATGAAACATGCACTTACCGAGGCTGTGTTTGTATTCGGTAGACTAACAGCTCGCTTCATGCGATATTCTTGTGATGGTGCAGCTAGGTGATTGTTGAGTCGATTCAATCGTTCTTGCCTAGCAAATCATCACTTTTAATTAGCGAACATGAAATCTACACCCTGATTACTTCACATTTTTACGGTATTGCTAGAGACTATTAAATGCTGAAGAAAGTTCGATGGAGGAGTGATCAGATCAGGAGTCCTCCACTTTATAAGATCAGGAGACAAATCCTCTCTACGTTATAAGGTCATATCTGAACAACAAACGGCTTACAAAAGGAGTATTCAGAAAACTAACTTCGTGAGCATGCTGTTGATTGCGACTTCTTGACGCAAACGATCCAATTTCAACATACTTTCAACAACTTGAATACTTTTCGTATAAACTTCGATATAACTCTGCCTCTTATCTCTGTAATCGTTGAATGCATCAGACACAAATGGTCATTGACAAAGGAAAATGAAAACAACGATGAACATCACTCACTTCGATGAATCGTCGTTTGCATCTACATCTTCATCTATACTTTGTGATGCTCTTGCAGCCATCATGGCCAGTGTTGCTCTGTCTTCAACATCAAGAGATGACTGAAATCACAAGCATTTGGTACTTCTTTTACTGTCACGAGTAAGGCGATTTCAATCGACAGTCTTCATGAGGAATGGCGTTTTCGATAAGTATGGATTACGAATATTGCGTATTGCATCGATCCCAAGGCTATAGTGATTTTATGGTCGCCGTGAAATATTTTAAGTAAATTCTCAATTAGGAATTGAATTCTCTCAGCATGCACACTCAGGACTTCAGACGAAATTCATTTCTTTGAAGCAACGGAAATATCGATTACTTGCCTTTGGAATGTGTGCGACAACATCATACTGAACGGAGGTTCCACAAATTGCATCCTGAAGTGCTTGACCATGAACGTGTTCGTTTACAAAACAATATAATCACCAAAGAACAGTTTCATCATAATGCAAGATTGAAAAACATCTCTGTCAGTCGGATGGATTTTCTGAGGTATTTGTAGCTGTCGAGAAAATGTTTTACAAGCATTATCTTACAATAAGTCAATGCCGATCATAATTACTCATGAGCGCATTGCGCATAAGTGTGCAAGAAAATATAATTCCACGATAAATGCCCTCATTGTCAGCAACCACGAAACCAGCAAAAAATCGGGGCGAAAGCGATAAGGAATTTTGAAGAGATTTTAAAACTTACCGTTCCGACTATCCTTTTCATAAGTCGTTCTGTCAAGCTAGCCTTTTTGTAGATATGCATACAGATTCTCTTACGAAGAATTATATCAATCTGACACGGATGCAAAACACGTACGACAACCTTAATTATCAATCAACTTCATTTAAAGAAGGATCAGTAAGCAAATGTATGCCGAAAAAAAGAGAAAAAGATGGTGGAAGGATTAGATAAAGAATTGACCTTGACAATAGCATAGATTTGTTCATTGCCACCTGAGGGTTTGTTGAGCGACGGATGATCATGAATTGAACTGTCCCAGGAACATGTCGCAGATATCTGCAACAGGCAATTTATACAACTTTTCCAAGAGCACTATCATCAGTAGTTGCACCCTACTGAAAATTGCGATGATTTGTAGTTAGATGATTGTGAAACGACTAATGCGCACACGGTGATCATCCTTCCAAAAACCGTCAAATCTATTCAAGCGGAAATATTACAGAGAAATGCATCTAGAGAATGAGTTCGAAGAATGTCAAGTCAATGACTGTGCAATACATTCACATTAGTTAATGGGTGATACTTCAACATATCAGTTGAGAATGTCTATAATTTGAAATATTCTCTTCGGATGAAAATGTTTATGGATGATTAACAAGGACGGATAAGTAATGTGATTAAATGCCATGGGAATGGAAGTGCGCATTGTGTAGCAATTCTTGTTAGTTCATTGTGCATCCCTTATCTATTGGATTGTTATTGCAGCTAATGACCAAACTTCAAACGAGTGTTAGCAGTTCTGTTATGGAGAGAAAAATGCAACTGTTCAAGAACAACTATGTGAATGAAAATTCAACATAATCTATGTTCCCGACAAACTTGTAACAGTTTTGTTTGCAAATAGGACAACGAATTTATATATGTGCATTTACCTTAAATCGCATTCTTTTCATCTGAAATTTACCATTCAAAAGATATCATCAGTTATCACTCAAGCATACAATTTGGCTAAAAATTTTTCGAAGCACGGTTATCAATTCATCTATGAAACTAAACTGAATGAGCGTGAAAGCGATGATTTCTGTACACTGATTCATGATGTTACTATGAGACTGATATCTACTGAAGATAGGTGTATCGGAAATGATGTATTATACATTACAACATCAGAACATTGAATCAGAATGCAGCAGTTGCTGACAGCTCATATTTTGGAGAAACCTGCTGCGTTGCTTCGATTTATAGTGAGAGAAGATGTGAACATCATTCAGAAACGAGAATTTGCTCATTTATGCTAACAATAAGCACGGAAATAAAGACAAACATCAACTGTATCCTGCTCGAGGATCGGAAGCATGATCATACGACCGCAATGTTCCTTCGGGAGGATCGTGTGCATGCCAGCCACCCTCACACTGCCGTCTTCAGATGGAATCTCTTCGGTCATATCGTCCGCTGAAATTCATTCTCTTCTTCAGTGATTCAAATGGAATCGCTGATGCCACAGAATCAACCTGCTGGACGGAGAAAATTGTGCAACAAAAAATCACGGTGAAAACTGAAAGATGAAATTCACCATTCAAGTCGAGGAAAAGAACCGGCACGTGCTGCTCCACACCTGGAAGTGGATCCCTGAAACAGTGCACACCTGTCATGAAAGATCGTGACAAAAAGGAAGCTACGATATACACGGTGGAGATATCTTGCAAAGTGAACAAAATTCCAGTATGCATGTTGCACTTGGCCAATGAAATGGCAATGTTAAAATCATAGTGTTTTCAGATTGCTGGGAAAACGTGAACATCTTTGGACACGAAATAAGATCAAGTACTTACAAAAGACTGAAATGAAACTAATCTCCCCACCCTAACTAAACCAACCACTTGGACTACCTATATACTTTTTAGGCATGAAACGTGAACAACCAACAAAATCGCTACCAATCGGCCGGTGCACCAGGAATATCGCTGTTCGGTGCTGGTAGACTAACGGCGTTCCGTTCTTCGGTTAGAGCGACCCACTGACTTATCAGTGATTTTTCTCTCTCACTTTCACGCTCCGATTTGTTTCCTTTCGTTGAAAGCTAAACAGAATAAAATGCTATCGAGAACAAACTTTCGTCACATTCAAAAGTGTACTGAAAAAGCAACGCAACAGAAGAATTTACAACTGCTCAACTTAGTATTGTTATCTGAAATGGTAAAAACAAACGACATGCAAAGCAACTAGCTCGGTTAATTGCGATTGTTCAGTGGCTTGTTGAACAGCTCAGAATCACTCTTAAACAACATCGACACAATGCAGCACAGCCTACGTTATTTATTTGTCTTTCCAAATAATTTTGCCTATTCGTTAACGCTTTCGTCCACTGTTCTCGTATCTTGTCCAAATCTTCCTCTTGATAGCTATCCAACGCTTTCTGAACAACAGGATTCCTAAAATAGATAGAATTTGAAAACGCTTTATTTGAAACGAGATTTGAAAAATATCAACTTCGATAATCCATTACATTTGATTATTACAGATCAAAAAAAGAGTCTCGAAAACCGAAATTGAACTATCACCTTGAACAAATACAACCAATCGAGACTGAACTGATGTGTTCAAAAGCTAATGGCAGATTGCCGTGATCAGCGATCGTTTTAACCCTGGCCACGATTCTACGCTGCTGTCCCTGGAAACATTCAGGAATCACAATCATGTTCAATGAGTTCATTGATACCAATAATAGCATTTTCAGGGTAATTTCTCACATCTGAACTGTACAAAGTCAACGCACTTCATTGCAGGCATTATTTTCAACCGAGGCATTAATGGCATTGCGAGAAGAATTTCACTCAAGATGCAGAAGAGGAGTAAACCCCCAACGAAGGTAACCTGTTTCAACTGATATATTCCTCCACAAAGGACGTCGTTCGATGGATGAACTTCAACAGACGCATACTGCCCATTGTCGTTCATCTCTCTTATATCGACGTGAAGCTCAATACGTCGAGTCACTTCTGCCCATCTTTCCTGAAACGCACTTCATACAATACATTCTGATGACTTATTAAGGAACTGGACTGTAGAAGGAGAAGATATTGCGTTAAAATGAAACGTAGTTATCGGGGAAAAGTGATCAAAAAATAATCACTACATTGGTGACATCGAAATTAACAGTTTTTAGAGTACTTACTATGAGCATACTCATTTACCTGTAAGCTTTTGTACTTTTGCTCAACATCAACGATACCGCTGAGAGCTGAAGAAGGTGCGAAATCATTATCATATCCACTTGTGCGATGCCCCCAAACCTCAATTGAGAGCGCATCTTCTTGCACGTATTCCAGAAACTCTTCCGTCACAGTCACCAGGAAATCCTGAAACTTTCCAAGCAATTAGAGGAACGTCGACTGAAGTCCTAAATCACTGAAACATTCCATAGCATGATACGGAAGTTTGCAATGATACAATGTGAATGTACGGAATGAGAATTTGATTCAAGTAGTCACCTTTTCATGCTCAAACTGGAAATTCGAACTATGCGGAGTATGAACTTGGTCCGAGGGTACTGAGTTTGGATCAAAAGTTGGTGCGACAACAAATATTTCGCTGATATTGAAGAACGAATACTGACAAAAAACGAAATGCGACAGGGACGAGGGAAGGTTAGACGCCTTCTTAATACGCACCTGAAAACAAAGAATATTTATCGAAAACGAAAAAAAGACGAAGTGAGAATTAAAGTTTCAAATTCAACTTATTTCCAACATTATCGCAAGGAAAGATTACAGCAACAAACTCACTCGACATTTAATTGTTTTGCCAAGGAATGATGCACCAATGCATTGTGGGTCGTTGATCCTGGATGGATCAAGCAAATCCAGGCTATTCATACCCATATCGGTGTCTGCATCAACGATCCGATACACTTCCACATGTAGACGACCGCTGACCTCACCCTATAAATCTCAATTATCACTGAGAAGAGAAGTGAAAGGGAACATCACAAGGAAACAATCCGTCTGAATGCAGATCGTGTTGAATGAAAAGCCGAATGGAGAGCAACATAATGAATAAAAATTTGCCGTTAAGAATATCGACGAAATACCTGTTGACTTATGATTGGTACTTGATAGTCAAGACGCATATCATGGAATAACACCTCCAGAAAAACATTCGCCACTCCGATCAAACTATGATTCTCCTGAAAAATCAACTGAATTACATTCGAGAGAAACAAAAAAGATCATTTGTTTGTGATAACAACGTTTCAACTGCTTGTATGCTGCATAATAAAAAATGTTCGCATATGGAACAATGCTGACGTGGAATATCTGTATCAAACAATCAATGTTCGTTGATCATTGAAAGCGTGCAACGAATGGCATCAGCACTGCAATAAATCCCACCTGACTCTCGAAGAATGAATCGGAATCGATGCTTGAATGCTCGTCACTCGATGAATGATGCAGAGGTTGAGTGTCATCATCCGATGAATCGCCCTCTGCTGAGAACCTGAACAAAACAGGGAAATTGTTACAGCACACTCCCTTAATCATGTACTAATCCCCAGAATCTTGTGAAAATCAGGTGCAAGCTTTTAAAATTAGGATATTTTCAAACAAACTTGAATTCCATATTGCATCGTGAACCATCAATAAAAGATCAATATTGCTTACAATTAGACGCAAATTTAAACAACACTACATTGCAAGAACTCGTTTTGGAATTTCACTTAGATGAAATAATCTGTTCGCTTCAAAATTTGATTTGTATTACTGGAAGATGTTCGACGGATGCAACTGACCCGTTCATACGATCATTGTACATTTCACGCATATCGATGAGTTTATTCTCGAGTTGAGCCGTCGACCAAAGTTGATATCCGCTGATGCCCGCTCGTTTCACGACAATCACTGGCTCACAGACAAATGTACCCGCCTGGAATGACAAGAAAACAATCGATTAGTTCAGAACAATAATTGAGACAGTTGTTTGAAATCGTGGATAGTCGATAACTGTAAAGCAAAGGAATCCTGATGTACCTATGCTTATTGTTCAATTTGGATGAAATTTGTTCATTCATTTGGAATACCTTTATTTTTGATGGCCTCAAATTAGCAGCAGGAATTTGCAGTGTAACATCATAGGTTACTTGACGTCGAGAATTCGACAACTCCGCAGCAATCATATTCGCCTCTCTGGCGAGTGCATTCGCTCTGACGATGTCGTTTTTGAGATGAGCCAAATTCTCTTTGAACATTTCCTCTCTGAAAATGTTTGTAGAATTATCATATTGGCACCTACCAGAACAAATGCTAAACCAACGCTAACGACCAGAATAATATTTTAAGATACTTGACACACATAACGAGAACCACTGTGGTAAGGAAGAAACTAAACACCTAGGTGATTCTTAACACTTTTTCATCTACACCTAATTAATTTTCTGTTCTCGAGAGACAAGTGATGAACGTCCCAAAACCTATATTACCGTCACTGTAATAGTCACTCAAATAGCTCACAAAACTGTCGTTGTACAAAAAAATGATACAACCTCCGTTGTGCCCAGTTGAAGAACTTGGAGCGCATACTTGATTTCGGATTCAACGGAAATCCAACAGTGGGAAACTGACTGCCAGGGGTTCCAATCGGCGTCAAAAATCCGGCACCGGGTGTCATTGGCGTAGACGGCGTATAACTGAAGTGGAAGAAACGCACATTTCTGAGAAAAATTTCAATTTGAAATCGCTCTTTAAACAGATATTGATGCGATCACTGTGCTCAAAGCGATACTGAAAGAACGAAAAAGCGAATTGCTGACCTCTGGGTAAGACCTTGAATGTACCGTTCGAACGCTTCGTATTGTTGCTCAAGAGCAGCTTGCTTTTCTTCCTGAAAAGAATAAGACTAATATAGACTACATTTTCGTTAACGAAGTGACTAGCGTTCAACTCAAAATCTTCAAGACACTGCTGCATGGTTCAAAAAAGTATTTCTTACATATTTCATCAGGTGTGTATGTAATACTTTTTGTATGTAATCAGATGTGGATGTAATAATTAAAAGTATTACACATTACATAAGCACGCATAACATCAGATGCATCTTAGTGTAAAATGTTTGAATTTCACAAGCGTCAGATATCTGGTTTGAGAATACTTATGTGTCCACCACACGAAACGATGTAAAATCTTTACCTCATGCTTCTTCGTGATCTGTTCCATGTACTGATCGACTGCCGTTGATATTGGATTTGAATTCATATCCGAGTTGACCTTTAAAAAAATGGCATTTATCTATCAATGGAACTGCATTCCTCATATTTAAAACTTTCAACGAAACAATGGTAGAGCAAGAATACAATCTTCTGACAGTCACGATGAATTTGACAAACAGATTATGATTAAGCATTGAGCTTAATAAAGATCAATATGAAATAAGTGATGAAGGCATTATAAGAAGTAACCTCATGCCACGCATCGTCGTAATCAAACAGCATTGCTGTTGATTCTTCCATGATTGATGCATTCAGATCAACTGCTTCCTTAGGGCAGTTCACACGGAAGAAATGATTATTTCCGATCAGAAGGCGATAACCATTACGGAGTAATGTTCGGTGAGATATTGCACGACCATTAACGCATATCCTGAATGACACGACATCACTTTTTCATGAATATCAGTCATAAGACAACAAGAATAATCTGCAGTAAGCAATAAGGCTCAAATAATGAGTTGGATAACAATGGTTGAAAATATTCATTCTCAAACACTGTTCGAAAAATTTGTTTGTGATATGTGGGATAGATGAGTCGATAAAAACAAATCCACAACTCATACGATTAAACTATTATCAATGAGAAGCAGTCAAAATTACCTGGCGCGTTCATCAATTTGTTCCACATAAATACGCTGTTGACCATCCTCCTCCTTGACAATCTCCAGCAGAGCGTGTTTATGGTGTACACCAAGTCCTTGCAGCACAATGTCGATCTTTTCCTCAGCTTCACACGGGGGCGACCCAACCTGATCGGGACATCCGATAATTGCATGTTGCTGAAACAGATTCCTCATCAAGTCCAAATTAATCGATGTTGGATGACTTTTTTGATCACTCATTCAATGAATTTCACTCGATTTCAAACGTTGTAAACTTCGGAAACATACATTGATGTAGTAGACAAGAAGTTCATTCAGCGATGGGTCAGCATTCAGGTTAACAAGATAGAAACGATCCTTCTCCACCTTTATCCCAGACCCAGCTACCGATATTCCGATTTCTGCCAAATCCTTTTGACGCTCCTAAAATTGTTCACATCACCGTGAAAACGATCAGCGAATACGCAAAAGAACTGCATCTTTCCGAATTATGCTTGAAGTGGACAATTTTGATTTGATTCAAGTCGCAATTTAAGAGTATCTGCATAATGATGACATTCACCGCTGAAGAAGGGTGTTAACGACTGACGTCTAGTAATCATTTGCAGTGAGAATTCATTAAAGAAATTCGTTATTAAGGAACCCGATAAATAGCGTCCGTATCCCTGAGTCTTTCATCCCACGATTTGTTCATCAATTCGACGAGTCGTTCCGATTCAGCGAGACGCTCACGTAACTCTTCAGTTTCCTGCAACGTCTGGCATGAACTGTTCTCGCTTCCAGCTCTTTTACAAATACAACTTCAAAGCCAATTGAAAGAGTAATTCCCTTGAATGTGATCAAAGTGGTTTCTTTTACGAACACATTCATATGCTGTTGTTTTTGTGCAGCGTACACCTAATGACATTTCGATTCATGAACGAGAGGTAATTGATCAAAGAAAGGCATGTATCTCACGTTGTGTTCCTTAACAGTTAAGTTGATCTGCGCTCGCAGTTGCTCAACTTCCTCTCTCAATTCACGAATCACTTTGGCGTTTGGATCCTCATTCACAATCGCATGGTTAACGATTTTCTTCGCACGATCCGCATACCTTCAAGTTCAGTCTTGAATATGAATCAGAATTGATCTCAGCTTCATCCTATGGGATAAAGTGAACAATCATTTCAATTCGTTCGAATAAACCTAAGACCAAACATCAAACAGATGAATACAATTAAACAAGTCAGCAGGTGAATAAAGGGAACTATGAAATAAGCGAAATGAATGAGTGAATAAATCGCTGAATAATTCAATCAGGAAACGAATCTTTGAGTGAATAACGACAAAATAATCGAAAAAAACTGCGTCAACGAATGATTAATTCAATAAACTTTAAAAGTATCATTAATCATTCCCATTCCCAATCATATCTCTATATTATATATCGATGGAAGTTTCGGGCGACCGGCTTACCGAAGAGTTGACAGAGTTTCCTCGTAATTGTCGGCAGATGGTGATATTGTGGCAACCATCACAGTTTTACTGTTTCCACCAAGGTTGTCTTTGAGGAGCCTGAAATATTCAAAAGACTGTGACAAAGAAAGCGTAATTTGCGGAGTATTTACTTTTACCCTGAAGCGGTTACCTTTTATACCCACACGCAACTGAAGCAACAGTGAAACAAGAAAAAGAATCAACTGAAAAGCGAGCAATACTTTGAAATTCCAATTAGCATGGTTGCTAGAATGGAAACGCCAGCAATTTGAGATCATTTTGTGGATACGATTCAACTGAAAAGTACATACCATGTCAGCACTGAATCACGATACGGCACAAATTTCTGTTTGCCAGAATGAGAATGAGAACGTTCGGCAAGTGCTGAGATGACCATCCCAAGCGTTGTGAGCGATCTGCAGATATCTCAGTATTCTTTTACAAAAGACACTCAACTAATTAAACATCAACAGCTCTTCACACTTGATAAAATTTTCATTTAAAAACCTTCAACCTATGAGGCACACATTTCGAATGACTGTGTGGAACAAAAGAAGACTGCATGGGTTTTTTTAAATGATAAATTAACTCACTTATTGATGTTAGCACCTTCTTCGAGTCGTTTCCCAACAGCACCACTTTTCTGTGCCCGTTCGCTACCCGCCAAGTCAACTAACGATATCTTGCTCATCTTCTCACCCGTGAACTGAAAATACTCCTTTGTGCTTTTTCGAGAAGTTTCGAAATGTGTTGTTCTGTTCATGTTGCTAAAACATCAGATATGAGACGGGAATTTCTGCACAATGAGAAAAATCTACAGTTCACTGTTCATCTCTGGTATTTGAATAATCAGTTTGAATGTTTCCAACTGTTTATTGTTTTAATTTAAAGTTATTTTTTGCTTACACCAGCATGGGTATCCTTTCAAATAGAATAGCTTTTCAACATATCTCTTACGGTATCTCTTCATTTCAGCATGAAATCGTTGCCTACATCGTTAATCGTCGTCGAATATCAATGTCTGTTCATAGCTACTGCCAAGGCAATGACATCATTTGAAGCAAATGTTCTCGGATGACAGGACTTATGCATGCATGCCAAGAAACGCTTGTGGGAGCATAAATAATGACCTTAGAGTTAGTTTTTCGTTTGAATCGCGTAAACGTTTGCGATAAATATATGTACGAAGGGAGAACTAACTCCATTTTCAATATCGGTAAGTGCTTGAGTGAGACGAATGTTGAAAACCGCATGCGATCGACTGCTTTCAGCATTCATGTTCGTTGCGGCAACCGTCCTCGATTTATTGCCCTCTTCTATCAGAGAGGCGATTTGCTGGAAGTTTTTTAGTTCAGTCGTATCTCTTATTTCTTACATCGACTCCGACATCTTTAAAAGAAACAAAAGCAGACATGAATTTAAGAATGCATTCTACTTCCTTCTCTCTACAATGCTGTTCTCGTAAAAAAATTTCCGCAGTTTGTTTTACTGCCATGATTGTTTCAATTGAGTTCGATGTCGCTTAGCATATGCTCACCGATATAACCTGTTAGCTTCCTATGAACCTTACTAAAATATCAAGTTTTTAGTCAGATATCGATCCCTTTCATTGACTCATTTTCACTCTTTTGTGGATCGATGCGAAAGACTGCCTAATGTAATTTGGTGAAAGTAATTAGATATGCTCACGCCGCTAAAAATTTCATCGCGACTTCAGAACTTGCGAAGAGTTCGAATACTAATCAGAATGCTGACAGATCAATGTGAGATCAATCGATTGTGCACTCAACTGAAGTACCGCAACTCTGTGATTAAGTTCAGTGGTCAGCTTAGTTCGGGTAAACCTTTATTAGCATAACAAATAACTAAGGACGAACCTCGTAGGATGAAACCGCTAGAACGGACAGTCCGTCGACCATAGGTCCAAGTATTTTATGCTCTCGAACCTTCAGATTCTTCGTCGTTCTGCAACTGTGATCACTTGGAGAATTTCCATAGAACCAGAAGAATAAGAAAATTAATTTTATCATTGCAGACATCAACAAAATTTTCATAAACAAGAATGTGTAACAATTTTAAGGAAAATGTGGTTCCCCGAAATGCTTGTGCATGCTCGAGGCAGCTGAAGATTCTCGAATGACAACAGAAAATGTTCCAGCAAATCAAAAATTCATGACTCTTTCATATCATGAACAGACAGTGCATGAAACCCTCTCCAAACGAACCAAGATCTCGCAACCACACAAAATATTCCAAGTGAAAAATCAGGACAAGAGAAGTTTGGTAGACCCCACTATGTTTACACCACAAAATCACATCGACCCTGACGTGCATTGCATTTCAAAACGATCATTGTTGATTGCAATAAATACATTATTTGAAGAAAATTGAAATAAAAATGGATGACAGAAATCACAGTTAGCTCATGGCTATCGAGATGCTGCCTGATATGCGTTCGAATCAGTGAACTTACTCTATGACCTGCATAAATCAGTCATCATTTTCATGATTACATTTCCCACACCCTATCAGATAATTATATGAAACGTCCACTCTACATCGGCAATTTGTTAACTTATCATTTGTTGCACTTCTGCCATAGCAGCTGTCATATTACTACAAAATTTCGAAAGTTCATCGAATCAAAGGCTGTCAATGTTTCGGCGCATTGTTTTATAGCAATATCATTATGCCGCAATTTTAATAATTCACCATCATTAGAGTTTGCAAAGCATGCGATACTCATCATTCCAACGGCTATATATCTATCTATATTCTCGTCACGAGCGGTTTTCGATCGTTCGGTTAATCTTCAATCTAATTTTCAACTAATTTGAACTTAGCTGAGCCTAGTTCTGCATCTATGCCATAGTTTGATATGGTGCGGTCGAATCGTTCGAATCTTAGAATAATTCAAACATAAAGAGGTTCGAGTGGAAATATGCGAGCAAATTATTCAATTAATGAATTGCACGATGCACGATTGCACTCTGCAAGCAACTCACTTTTTAGGATCAAGAAGATCGCGAACTCTTTCATTGTATATTTCCATGTATGAAACCTCAACCTTGAATGCCAACGATTCAGAGGATGCTTCAACGATTCGCTCAAAAATGGCATTGCATAAGCGTGGTATTATACCCGGATTCTCCTTCGTACCCATCATACTGTAGCTCTTTCCAGAACCTCAAAGCCACGTTTCTTAACGATACTTCTTAACGAAAACGTGCCAGCACATAATATAGAACCTTTCGGAAAATTTCATTTCGGATTTCATTAGATTTCAACTGTGAAACAACATCGGTGTCATCATTCAATTTAATTTCCTCCAAAAACTCCAAATGACTGCGCAGTAATCACGTATAAAAACAATCCAATAATTCAAGGAAATAAACAAGCTGAAACGAAAAATAACCAGTTTGTCCGTACGCAAAAATGCATGCATTATAACCCGAGAACGCATTGTTCAAAACGCCAGAACCAACGTGCTTGAACACTTCATCTTGATCTGAAATAAGGACACGGTCATGAGAGCAAAACTAGCTTTAGTTCACAAAAATTCGATTACAAAATAACAACTGATGGCGTGAAGTTCATAAGCGATAACATTTCATAGTAGGAGATCGTTGACGATCTGTCTCGGAAATACAGAACAGTTCGGCTCATTCGCCACCAACGACTTACATAATCACACGTATGAAATGAATGATACTTCAAATAACATGAACGGAACTAACCAGCATAAGACGAGTCATTGGGATCGGTCGAATAAAAACAGTGATCGAAAGCGAATGACTTCGGCTGCTTCCTAAATGAGTGCCTGTCTGAGTTATTGCAGAAAGAAATTTGCTATCCAAATAATTGGTACATTTACAGGGTAAACTACAATACGAAACACTAGAGCACAGCCGAATAAATTCCAACGATATTTCAATTGACCGCTATATTGGTATAAATTGCATTTTCCTATGATTTGTATCTTTTAATGAATCTATATCAAATGCACAATTCAAGACCTAAATAAAGAAATGACGTTACCATGAACAATGTGGAAATCAAAATAAGATTGATGAAGGAATTGTTTGGAAACTTGTGATTGAAAAAAATAAAATTTGCAAAACTAACTCATTGCTGGGATGTGTTAAGATTGTTTGATCATTGCTCATAGAAACGACACATTTCGTTTTCAAATCGGTCTCTAAAAATTTCTTTTTTTTGTACAAACTCAATACAAGAGTTAATTCCTTTCAGTCCCACTCCTCGCATGATTTCAGAAGGAAACTGGGAGCATTATTTAGCAGTCTGACAAATATCACGCTGAATTATACCACAGTTGCATACATTAAAATATTTTATTCACTCGTTTCAATCTTGATGGACAAAATTTTCACGATGTGAAGAATTATCTTATTCATGTAGATATCAATCACAGTAGACAATACCCAACCAATAATCACACCAAAAGATTTATTCTCCTGCTAGTTTTCAACCCTCTCATTAACTCTTTTTTAAATTTGCTGAAAACAGAATTTTCCGGCCTGAAGTATCATCAAATAAGGCTTCACGGGGTCGCTTCGCCATGACATTTAAATTTTCACAAATAGGAAATCATCTGCATAATATTCATGAGGAACAACTTTTTGGATGATAGAATCTCTGTCGATGAGCAAATCATCAGGGAGCGGGAGGGTGAACTCCGATGGAGAAGCTGTGGCAGCAGATTGGCTAGGGGAAGCCTTCATCAAGAGCAATTCGTCAGAGGGAGAACCCTGACCAAAAAGTCGAGGAACACCTCTGCGTCGAGAGTTTCGCACTTTAACGAATATTACCTCTGCAGTTAACTATTCAATATTCAGCGACACATGAAATGGAAACGATGTGAGCAAAATGTGTCGAATTTTTTGAATTCAAAAATCCCAGGCACTTTGTTCGTCATTCTTGGAAATGAACTACTCAAAATCATTTGCTTTATGAGGTAAATTGTGATTTTTCATTGGATACGGATTTGATTATTTTCATTTTTTTGTTCAAAGAATTTGAGTGCATTCTAGTTGCCAAAGCAACGCAAAAAGCACAACAAATTAGGCTGTCTGAGAACACCCCCATAATTCCGAGCACTCTTGTGATTGCAGATTTGAGGGGATCGTTGGTAGAATCAATCATTTTCATTGGCATTATCCGAACCAATGTCTTCCCTTCCGCAAACTGATGCTTCACATTCACATCAACGAGTGGTTCGATCCTCTGATAAACACTTTAACGTTTGTATTGCTGTCGTTTTGTTCTCTCTCAATCATAGTTTCAAAGTAAACTGTCAAAGACGCAAATTGATATGATTTGAACTGAAATGATTCACTGATTCCTGTCAGTTAAGCTGAAAACGATTGGTGCACTGAGTAGTTGCAGACGGAGAACGTCTTCTCGAAATAGTAAAATGTCATGTAAATACATTGCAGCCGTTACGGCAGTGATATGCAAAGAGACCGCCGACTCATCAATGCAGGCGATCAACATAAAGGACGCTGCAACGCACGAGATGTCAAGCGAGCATTTTGAAATGTCATAATCGGTGTGAAAGATTGATAACAGAGAAATTTTGCGAAAAATATATCAGATATGACAAACGTACTGAACGCGATCACTCCATGAATATGCACAATTCCCATCGGTGAAGTAAACTGCCTTAGTTTACGCAGTTTATCTTACCAAATTATCTGTCAAACTGTANGTAATATCTGCGATGATGCATCGCTTTTGATATTTGGAGACAAAAATTTCAGTGCTGTAGCCAGAGGCTGATGAATGAAATCAGTAATAAAGTGCTATCATGCGACCGAAGCGAATCAACAGAATTGCGACGCAAACGTAGATTCTTGCTGCAGAAATTCATTGTTCTCGTCGATAATGGACGCTTTCGAGAAATTTTCATCAGATCGAAGTTCCCAATGAATCAGTAAATTTTGTCGGCAGTTTGTTAAGAGATCATGCACGCCATTAGAAGCAATACTACGCATGAAGCTCACTCATCAATTTTAGACTGGAAATCTGCTTGAATCCTTGTAAGATGACATCATTAGTTGAAATAGGTGCTTCTAGTTAATTGAGTTAAACTCTATTTTGTTTCAAGCACTTTTCATTCAGTTCTGTTCTTGAAGTTCTCTGAAGAATGTCTGATATCCATGGAGAACTTCTGTGGCATTCGGAGCGGAATAACCCGCTCAGAATGCCACTAAAGAGAGATAGATGAATGCAGATATGGTGACTGAAGAAGATGGCATACCGAAGACTGCGAGTATTAGGTGTTAACACTTCATCACAGAGAATCTGCTTCTTTTTCTAGTGACATCAACTAAACAATGCACTGACAATAATATTACTGAGAAAAGATTAATTCTCACTTAAACACGAGAATATGGAAAAGGAGAATTGATCAACGAACAAAGCGTGAAATGAGGCAAAAATTAGTTGAAGATTTGTTAGCGCGTGCTCAGCAGTAAGTATAGTGAGTGTAACTAAACGAACCTCTTTTGTTGAACGGCCGCACTCGTATGGCCACCTTCACTTTTTCATCGTCATTAGCCATTATTCAAGCGAAATATTCAGCGAACAATTGCAGATATCGAGTATCAGAATGAATGCGTTCAAAAATAACAACAAAATAAAACATCAGATGTAAAGTTGTGAATTGCAATCGCTTGGAGTGCAGTGAATATGTTGCTGTGAGTATACAAATATCGGATTGTTCAAGCACAAATATCGAATGCTTCCCCTTTTTTCCGAAATAAAACCATCGACTTAATGAGAATCAGACAATGTAATCACCAATTCGAATTGATGATTTTGATCCTGAAACGACTTCATCTCATCAGCACAAATCCGGATGCAATTATACGAGAATCGCATAACGGAAAAGGCGGTCATCGAAGTGAAACATGACATGAAACTGCAAATTGCTTGCGTACATGCCAAGAGTTTCATCCACATTTCACAACCTAAGCAGTCAACATAATCTAATTAATGTGGATATCAATGGAAGCGATCCACAGCCATTGAACAAGTTGAATGCTATTTGCACTAAACTATGGCTGAATGACAAACGCCTCTTGAAAAGTGATGATTGGAAAAATTTATTACCACATCTGCACGCTGGGTAAATAAATTCATCGATTTCGTTTTCATTCGAAAACAGCTCGGTGTATTTCTGTTGAGGAATGACGATTCGTTTCGATGGAAAACAGCCCAATTTGAAAAAAAAGCTTGCAAATGGCTTCTCATAATTGTGTTTTTTGAAAACACCTCGATTGAGAATGTTTGAGTTTGAACTTTTTTCTGAGACTTTAACTAATCACAAAATGATGAGTGAAACGATATTGACCGAATGGAAAAGATATCGTATGAATGAATTGTTAAAAAAGCTTCGTACAAGACGGCGATTTGACAATGTGAAAACAATAACGATTGCAAGTTTAAGTTGAGAAGAAAGGTGAAATGCAGTTGAAAAATGAATATAATAGCAAAATAAGTTGGGTATTGAAAATGGTTTCCGTCGACTTTCTCGAAAGAGTGGATTCAACATACCACAATATGCGATTATTTGAAAGGCGTTTGGGAAGAAAATGAATGAGAGAGGAGCTATTTGCATGTAAAAATGCGTTATTGATGAGAGAGCATTGTGAATGTAACGTTTCAAAGCCATCAGATCTAATCAAAGATTAACGTTCAAAGCTAGCGACACATGGAGTTTGTTGTTTTTATACATCTATTTCATCAAAAGGACGTATTCAATGAACCGAACGAATGCATAAAAGTCATCCTTCGGTTTTGCTTCCATAAACAACCGCCAATCTCTCTTCATCCTCATATACAATTCGTCGATCTTCAAATCATTCCTTGAATTAAAAACGAAAACGCTTGCATGCATACACATCCACATCGTTTATACCTGCATATGTCAACGTACATCGCTTTAATTAGTTTCATTTTCAAGTTAATTAAAATAATACACTTCAGTGGAAACAAGCTTGTAATTATGCGCTTCATTGAACATCGTACATCCTCACAAAGCTTCAAACCAATGTCAACTAGTGCGATATTAATTTGTCAGAAGAAACTTAAATGAAAAATGGAACAACTGCAGTGTTATGTCTACCTAGAACGAGCCCCAGTCTCCAATTCATCTTGCTCATGACGGCTGTAAAAGATTTCTCAGACAATTGCATGACAAACTGATGTTTTTAAATTCATGAAAATCATCGCATGGAAACGCGAATAAAAGCAATTGGGAAATTGGCTGCAAAAATAACATAAAAAAATGAGCGAAAATGAGCCATACATTGATAAGGGTTAGTGTCTACTTAATAATCATTACTCCTTCCAAAATTGTCACGAAGTCTCACTCATCCAAATATGCAAAGACTGCACTAATCAATCGCTTTATGTATGATGATAAAGTGACAGGTGATCATCAAGATTGTCAAAGCTTACGATAAAATACGACACGATGTAAGTATCTAAACACGTAACTGTGAATATACGTTCATCCGAGCCACCTTCAATACGCAGATAAATATTTACAAGTGCAGATGGCACGAATGCACCAGACGATGGCTTCATCAGATGTTCGGAATAACTCATTTGCAGGTGCTGAAGAACGAAATTATTGTATTGTTGTGATGAAGAATGAACGAGTACGACGCAGTGCAGCTCTACGATTGTATGTGTGGATGACAAACAAGGCGTATTTCAGAGGCAATTGACATGTGCGAAAGATGGATAGCAGTTGGATGTTTGGAGTGAATACATAAATCAGTTCTTGATTAATTCCTCTCAACGCTATCACGAATGCGTGCATGCTTCTGAACTTAAAGCATATTCACATGAAGCGCTCGCGGCACCGACACTATGCGAACAACGAGAATATCGTATGGATGTGACTGCATTTATAGCGATGAACATAATGATTAGTGGTTCAGAATAAGAGTTGTTGCGCTGGTCATAATCACGAATATTAGCGTAATCATGACAAAAAAATTCATTAGTAACGGACTGATGTTCTTTTGAGATGTGACCGTGTTTTGAGAAGGTACGCAATCGCTGAAGGCTTACGAACGATAAGAGGGAGCAGAACGCTTCGAGGACACTACTTCGATCGCAGAAATTAATTTCGATGACAGAATGGATGACGGATTAAAAAAGAATGAGTACATGAAATTCGATAATGCAGACGATTCTTGAACACTTTTAATCAGACGTCTGAAGTCGTCTGAACGTTTAGACGATCAAAGAACGTTCGCAATTGCTCTCAGCTTTTCATCACTTGATGTCATCGTTGGCTCTGCTCTCATGCTTGTCTCCATCCATGAGGTGAGTTAATGATTTCACATTTTCATCGATGATTGCGTTGAAGGTAATGCTAGTCACAAACATCAATTTGAAATCCATTTTTTTGAAAGCTGCATTTTGGTTTGCTTCATGTTTTGAGACACTTTCAGAATGTGTTCAATCTGAGGTCAATGGAGGCAATCGCTATAGACGTATTTTTCAGATAGTAGTATCAAAGATATGACGACCAGTTCCATGAAGAACG